AACAGGTGTAGACTTCACCCACTGGGGGCGGGATTTGTGCGAAATAAATGTCTGAACGAAAATCCATAACTCCTAATCCCGTGGGCTTGGAGAGAAAAATCAATAGTACAGGGGGCCGGACGGGAACATTGACGATAAAGGGGACCTTAGAGAACAAGTTCCAGTCACCAACTGAATCCTAGCGCCTTTTTTATTTACGATCTAGCTTTAATTCTTTGAAATATTCCGTTTAACAAGGGGGGTAAGTACATTGATAGGGAGCGATTATGAGATTTGGTTCACTTCTTGCTTACGACCGCTACCCAGCGAAGTATGCGATGCAATGAAGGATCACGGTTTTTCTGCTTTGATCACATTCATGGCAGAACTTATCCGACCGCTAACAATCTTGGATTCTTACTTAATGATGTATCAGTAGATAAAAGGAGCTACATTCATAAAGACATTTGATAATGGTATTATTATGACTCGACAACATTTGTGAGTACCATTCAAGGGTTTGGATGTCTACCAGTTGAAACTTCAATGGGCTTATTTTTAAAATCGGCACTGAATACCGTTGTTCCGTATTTTGAATATCGTTTGCATGCCTTATTGTTCCTCTAAGGAGCTTCGTGTTCCGAAAAGTATCATTCCTTCCGAAAAAGGAGTGTGCTGTTTGCCGTTCGTCACGACTCTATGAGAAGAAGGAGGGATGTCCGGCACTAGCTGAGCGGACCCACTGTCTTTATATATGAAGCGGAAACTTTGTGTGTCTGTTTGTGGGTCGGTTTTTGCGGTGTAGTAGTACTCATGAAATGGGAAGTCAGTCGATACCGTTCATATTGGTCCTCTAACAAGTCGTAGGTAAACGGTAGTGGGCATGTGGTGCACGCATTAGCGTGCGTAGCCCAACTGGTTTACAATAATCCGCAGGTATCTGTTCTGATGTAATACTAGTGATAGAGGTGATAGTCTAGAATAGTGCGAAATAAGTAAAGAAAACGGAAAAATCAAGATATTTAATGGAGAGTATGAAGAAAACGCAAAAATCAAGATATTTAATAGAGAGTATGATGACAAGAGTTCTATGGAAGGAGTATTTGGACGAGACCTTGGAAATGTGAGTGTGATTGTATACGGCTGACTACATTAAGCTGTCTACGTGCAACGTGTGCGTCTCTGTGCAAACTATACAGCCTAAGCTGATTTTGGGGTCCTTGTTAGGCTCTATCTTGACCGTTTTTCGACCCGACTGCGTCCTTAAGGCTCTCCTTGGAGGGTCACACATCAAGAGAGAAATCTCAGAAAGCAGAAATCATTTTTAACGTGTATTGTGCCTCTAAGCTAATGCGTTTATAGAGAGTAGCCATTTTTACATGAAATCATTTTAGGCAAAACCATGGGTCTCTTGCCATAAACACTACATCAAATTCGCGCCCTTCTTTGACAACGACAAAGAAAAAAACGTCGAAGTGATTACTTTGATGGAGACCGTCTAGAAGCTGTCACTTAATGCCACTTACAATCGTTGTCCATTTCGAGAACTTATTTGGCTCACACAATGAGGTAGAAGAAAATATAAGTATGAAATGTTTTGGTTTCTCTACAAGTAAAAGTGCCTGTCAGTGATTCTATCTGGGAGGCGATAGCAGCGGTTGAATAAATAAGATTTGATCTATGATTTAATCCCTATCCAGCATGGAGTAGCGATATGATTTTGCAAGAATTCCCTCCCATGATTCCCCAATCAAAACGCCATATTCCAGGTGTTTGTTTTGATCCATTATTGAATGTGATAGTTGGTTGTGAAAATCAATTGAGTAAATAACCTTCAACGACTGCACGAACATTCGTAGCGAAAGTGTCCTGCTGCAAGCCGCATCTTGCAACCGCTTGCTGCATTACTGATACCCAGACCTTGAATAAGAATCATTCTCGAATCTGTTCTGTCCAAACCAAAAAATGATAATGCTTCTCTACACGTTCACCTTGTCTTTCTCATCAATATCTTCGTTGTTTATTGGTTGCAACACTTTTGCTTTTTGCGCACTGTTCGGAATGCCAGCTGCTCGGAATGGAGCAACAGACTCTGGCGCTGGTCGAGCTCCTGTTGCGGCTTTGACGGTTTCGGGTACTGGTCTGTAAAAATAAGGTCACTGATTTTTTTTAATGGCATGAAAAATTTCATGATATAGATGATTTAGTTCACCATTCCATAGAAGCCTTTATAGGTGGCTACTCACTGAGATAATAATGCCAACGATCCTCTTTTACCAAGAAGGATGTGAGAGCCCACTGATTCTGGCAACCTATGCCTCCTTATCAGTTCCTACCAGTTGGAATCGACTCTCGTCATCCGCCACCGAATTACTCATTTTCTCGTGAACCATGTCATTCTCTAAAGCCATATTGAGAATAACAGAGGCTATGAATTTTTGGTCACAAACACATATGCATTTATACACACATACTCGCATACACACATATAGACTCATCTGTCCAAGTTTTAGGCTCCCTCTCCATATGGTTACGTAATGCCCAATTTCGAGGCACACTAAGTAAGGAGACTTCAAATGACAGATCCAATTCCTCACATATATTCTATCTATTCTTCCTTACTTACTATCACCGCGATTAGTCTTTTACGTAAAACCACCTCGAAAAGTATGCCAATGCCTTTAAGAGGTAGATTCATATGCGGTAGAGAGGGGTTGCAATCGCAATGGCTGCTTTCCAGCCCGCGAGCGAGCGATTGAGGCGGCGCTTGCCCCTTGTTCACAGCTGAATCTTGGTCGTACCGCCGAGTAGTCCCCTAGTAGCTGGCTCGCGCGCTCGCGTACTATGAAAGCAGTCAATCACCAAAACTAATGCCGTATAACTCTGTTCGCGCATGATTTTTCTTATCAACTCGATACCCACTTTTCTTCAGCACAACGTGTCGATATAGTCTCAAGAAAAAGCTTTAGCATCTTTGGAGGTCTCTCTGAAGCCACGACCAAGATGATACAAATTTTTATTCGGCTAACGTTTCGGCCAATCGCCTTCGTCAGAGCCTGGCTTTAGCATCTATCAATCGGCTCTATAGACGTCTTATTCAAGTTGTTTGTGGGCTTGATGTTTGACTTTCTCAAGCCTCCTGTTTGGCCTTTGGTAAAATGCCTTTCTATAATAGCATCGGTTGGTTTAATATAGAACCTAATAGGCCAATGTAAACAAGGACCGTGGGTATGAAATTTTGGAAATCAGTCAGTTTTGCGGTACAAAATTAGCGTGATATTTCGCCGTCACACCACACCGTCCTGCTTATATTATATCGTATTTTAGCAATACACGGGCGAACTAAATGGTATGATCAGAATTACTGCTTAAGCTGGTAGCGTTGTAATCATGTACTCAAAAAAAAATAAAGCAAATACCAGGTGGCATAATATTCTGATTCAAAAAATAGTCACGATAGTAACGTTAGAAGGTCTTACATTTGAGAGAATGTGCTAGGGCTCGGCACTTGAACGATGTGAGCGCTTGTATAGGCAGCAATCACCATCTCTATCATTCCTTCGAGACCCATAGCATAGTTACCACTTTTGAAGTGTCCTAAAAATTAACTGAACGAACTTTCAGAATTTATCATGACTATGAAATAGCTTATGTGCCAACACATGGCATGTGAAATTATACCATCTGCTATTTTCAACAACTCTTGTTCTTCCACAGAACACATTGTTAACACTTATGGACCTCGAGCATTCTTTTAGCAAGATCTTAGTGGGATCGCTTGATGCATAACACCAAACAGAAACTATCTGGCATCCGGGCTTCGTTAGTTGCCCCACTTATGTTCCCTATAAGCAATGTTGCAAAGTATTGAAGTGGGTTCTGTAACGCGTAAACTCAAGAGTTGTGAGAGTCATGGACTTTCCAGAGTTTCTCCACTGGGTGCTCAATCTGTCAATCGCTTCTAAAAGTACCGTGGGTATGCGAGCACTTGGGTCCCCTCTCCAGTGAAAATGAATTTCTTTCCACAAATCTTCATGTGCATATATTTTATATCTTCTTGACGACTACGTGCGAAACCTTTTCATCAATACTTATTGAATCCTTGATTTCGGCGAAACCATTTTGTGTTAGAAACAATGCAAAATAAATACAAAAAAAACTCACCGACGTTTTTTTCAAAAGCCGTTTTGAGTGTATCCTTTGAAATGCGAGCGTCCCGCCCAGCCACCGTGAACACCTACAAAGAATCGTTTGCTTCGCTGATCACGAGAGGACAAATATTTCTGTACTTGATAATATCGCATTCATTCAACTCTCTTATGCTGTTAGCTACGTTTTGCACAAATAATGCTCGAATAGATCGTTTTTTCCAGAACTTTCTCCTCGTAATCCCATAAGTGGCAGTCGGTTTTTCAAAAATACAAAAATCTTTCAAGACTTCTACCGAGACTAGACTGAAGAAAGCTCAATGACCAATGTCATTGAGCTTTCTTCACCTTGCTTATTATATAAACAATCTAGACCGGTACAATCGATAGGGTGAACCTCTGAACAACTCCTAGCCGCAGAGATTGCTAAACATTTCCTCACCCAAAAAAAGGTATGAAAGACGACCCTGCGCCTACTTCACAAAATTTACTTTGAAATGAGGGGTACAGGTTCCAGCTTATGGCATTTTGCTG